TTTTCTAAGGCATCCGTTTGCACATCTGCACGAGGGAAGGCTTACAAGGAGGTAAATGAAGCTGGTGTAGAGGGTGCACGGGCTCTGTGGGAGATCCTAAAAACTTCCTTTTCTTCTAAACTTCTCTTGCGAAATTAAAATGAAGCCAAAATCCTAAGTAGTTTATGGCAAACCATTCTGGTTTACTGTTGTCTGCAGTTTTTCAGGATGGAGGGCAGAACTTTTCATGCAGAGTAGCAGGAATTTTTCACAGGATAAATACTTAGAAGAAAGCATTTTGACCAGCCATTCTAATAAGCGATATTTAGAGCTTTCGTTTGAGTTCTATGCAGAGATTTCAATACTTTTGGAAATACTGTTCCTTAGTATGACTGACACAGCCAAAATAACCGTAATCATTTTCATCATCGTGACAACTGATGTTTAAATAGCAGATTTCATCCAGAGATCTGTACCCAGCAGGCTTCCAGTGACCCTTGGTCACCTTGTCCGTTGGTGGGCAGCACTCCTCTTCTGCGGGAGACGCAGGCACCGGCACGTGCCGTGTCGTGTCCGGAGAGGGGCTGACGCGCGACAGCTACGGCGCCTTGCCCCGTCTGGAGGGCTGGAAGATGGCTGTAACATGAACAGGAAGCTCGTTATCTTAAAAACATCAACACATGGCCACTCTGAGCCAATTACCAGTGCAGCAGATGTGACGCTCTGTATGTGGCCTTGTTATATAAAATGTGGGGGTTTGGTGCTCTGGGCTCTCAAATTAAACATAGGGGTCATGTAGAGAAGGGGGCAGGAAGGGAAAATACTGTGTTCCCCCGGGTCTCTGACCCCTCGGGGGACGGGGACCCCCCGTGGGGGGTGTGCAGGAGGGACGCTCCCCTGCCACCCTTCGCCCTGCCAGCAGCTCGTGCTGCTGCTGCCGTCCCCGTTGGTCGATTTAATTCTTGCTAGCTGTTGCCCTGCTGTTCGTTCAGACTTCATGGGAATCTGCTGCTTCTAACTGGTGGTTTCTGTGTGATTCATATCTTTCCTGCCTTCTGGCTGATTTCAGGGCATACAACTGTGTGTGTTTTTAAGAAAACTGTGTGGTTAAGCTAATCCTCAGGACTCAGTGTGGAAAGTCATTCTGTTCAGCGTTTCAGAAGGTGTTGCTTGAAAAGACTTTTCTCTGATAATATCTTGTATCTCTTTCCATTACTGCCTCTGAAGGGGGGGAAAAAAAAGGCATTCAGACTTTCATTCTCAAAGGCATTTGAGAAAATCTGGAGAAATCACCACAGGATAAACTGATCTTACCGGTCAGACACAGGGAACAAAGTGCTGCAGAGATGCAGAGACACTCTCGGTCTCGTTGGAAAAAGTGTTTTTGCAAGGTTCCAGAGGTACCTCAGGGCTCACTTAGTCCAAATTTTGCTGTCACTGGGTTGTGCTTTTTCATCATCTCTTTGGTATTCTTATAAGAAGGAGAGATTTAGCCTTGAATTATTTATTTATTACATGCTTTATGCTTATCTAGCCATTCTTTGTGCCTGTGTGAAAAAAATAACTGCACTGCGTATAAATAGACCAAGTGGCTACGACAGAGTCTCCGAATACAGTTCACCTGTCAGGAAGGGCAATTTTCTTTTCCAGCGTTTGCAGTACAGTTTGCAATACAATTACTCCTCAAGGTCTTGGGGGGAAAAAAACCCCAACAGAAAACAAACAGGTCGTAAACGTCTGCGTTGTTGGGCTTAGGCGCGCCCTGGCCCCTCTGCGCTCTCCTGCAGCCTGGCCCCGCTTCCCGCAGCGCTCCTGGCTGCGTCCCAGCCGCCAAGCCTTGCTCCGAGCCCGCGTCTCGCACTCTTTGCCCGGTGCGTGCCAAGCGTTTGCGGGTTTGCCGTGTAACGCGCGACAGGACAGACCTAACCGCGTGTTGGTGCATTGAACGCTGATCTTGCTGGGGTTCAGACACACCGCGTAGTCACTGCTAAAGAAGGGCGGAAGCAAAGCAGATGTAGCCGAAGAGTGTTGGAGCACCAGAGTGACAGATGCTCGTTGCACCATTTACAAACATTAATTAACATTGATGTACTGTTCAGACATCAAATTAGCACAATCCCTTGAGAGCGATGATGCTTCAGAGATTCCCGAACACCCGGAACCCTGGTGCCCTGCCCTGGGAGTCGTTCTGCAGACGAACCCCTGCCTGCTGCCCCCCGTTTCCAGAGCCGCGTCGCTCGTCTCTGTGCTCGTCCCTTGTGCGCGGCGTTGGGGCCATCGACTGGCTCGCCAAAGGATGCTTGGGCCACGGTGGGGCCCGAGGTCGGGAGCATGATGTCTTTCTCCAGGGTGAGGAGAAGGCAGCTGTGCCCAGCTGTGCGCTGTGAAGCATCTGCTGCTGCCCCAGCACGAGGGGAGGTTCTTGGTGGGGAGACCTGCTGGGTTTTAAGTAGCTGTCAGTGAGTAATGATTAGGCAGGTGGAAATCTGATTATATGACACAAATTCCAGGTATACTTTTGAGCCAGGTCCGAAACCCCCCGTGCCCTTCTCAGCTGGAAGGATGTCTGATCTCGTATGGCTCCGGTCCCTCAGGGGAGGAGCAGAGCCAGCACGGAGAGGGGCTGAGCAGGGGCAAGCGGAGACCGTCCACGCGGGCTGCGAGACGCGGCACGCAGCGGCGGCGGGCTGATCCCTGTCGGCACGCCGCTCGGCAGGAAAACTAACATGGGATTTGCAGAATTCGGGTCCGAGAGCAGTAAGAAAAATAGCGGAGCAGATGGCCGTGGCGCAGCCCGAGGGGTGCACTGTCCTCTGTTAATCTTTACAAACCCTCGAGAAATATCGTCGTGTATTTTGCCACTGTTGCTGCCGGTAACCCTCCCCCCACACCGACCCACGTGGGGACCATGGAGTCCTCTGTCTCCGTTTGGCATCATACGTTTGTTTGCATTGCTAGCTAAATTTATCCAGTTCCAATTAACTGTTCTCTTTAGCATTTTTCTCTGTGTAATTACCTCAACACCAGCAGGCCTTTGTATTTTTAATAAGAATTTAATTTTGTTAGATATAATCGTTTTAGGACATTTTTTTTCTGGACCAGCGATGTATAACTGTGTTATTTGGCACAGTTAGAGACCGTAGCTTATTTGCTCAGTGGGAAAAAGGAAAAGAGAATGAGCTGTTCTCTCCACAAAAAGGTAAAAATCTGGTTATGCAGAGGCCAGAGTCTGGCTTCACTGAAACGTCAGCAAAGCCAGTAGCACTGTTTTAATTTCACAAAGGCACAAACAAATTGAGATCCTAGCTCCTTAGACTTCGTTGCCTGGTCAGGGCTCAGCTGAAGTCTCTGGCCCAGTCCGGGCTCGCTGAGGGCGAGGAGGACCGTGCCAAACCGTGCTCGGCTTCGGGAGCCCGCGGCCGGGCTCAGCGTCCTCCCGGCACCGGAGAAGAGCGGAGTCCCCCGCGGCGGCAGCTCCTGGAGCAGCCGGCTGTCTCCTCGGGCATTGCTTCGGCCTCTCTTTCCGTGGGAGCTCGCAGACAAACCGTTCCCGCTTTGGTGTTTCAGGCGCGGTTCCGCAGACACGTGCAGGCGCAGAGCCTGTATGGGCATGGTGGTTGCGCCCTGACTTTGGAACACACCTAATAACCCCCACAGTTTTCCTGCCTTCTTGTCTTCTTTTTCCTAGATTATTTAAGGGACGTAAGAAATTCTTCAGTATGAGTATTCGGTAAATTTCCCTTGGCTCATTTTGACCCCAGTGATAATAAAACATATGGTATGTATATAATTTTATGCATGCACATGACACCAACTGGTTTTAAATGCGGGCCGCCCACAGAACCAGCCTGCTCAGTGAAGGTGGGTGTGCATTTATCTGTCGGTGATGATAGCCAAGGAGCTTCTTGCAGGGTAGTGTCTACATACCCAAAGCTCAAAAAAAAGTGTACTGCGAACCAGGGAGATACTTCAGTTTTTCTCCAGGCGCAAGGAATGCTCTAATGCAGCGAAGTCATTCTGTTTCTGTAGTGCCCAGAAGGCAAGGAGAGAGCAGCGGCGTGGTCGGAGCATCACTGGGCGCGGGCGGGAGCTGCGGGCTCCAGGACCGCTCTCTGGAGAAGTGCCCAGGGCCACGGGCTTGACGAGGCGCTTGGATCTCCGGGCTGGTGGGTGGCCGGATGCACTGGCTGCTGTGTCGCTGCTTGCTTCTCTTTGACCGCAGCAGCTGGGGTGTGTGAACGTTGTTGGCTGTCTAGATTCCTGGACCTTTGCTTTCAGTCTTGACCACAGATCCCAGCCACAAATGGAGTCTGATCACGCTGGTGCTCGATGGGGGTACGCAGACAGTCACTGCCACACATAGCCATCCTTGCCATGGACCACAGCTGAACTGCGCTGCTGTCAGATCTTGGTCACCACTGTGCTGAAATGCAGTGCTGTTTCTCAGTCTTAGTCTTTCCTTTCTTGTCTACAAGAACTTAGAAGCTGTAAACTTGTAATAACTGCAGGTGTCATCACTTAAAAGTTACTGTGCTTTTCAAAATCTTTTTTTTCTGTTTTTTCTTCCAAAGGAAAGGTAGGGTATCCTACAAGGGCGTGCAGACGTGTGTGTGCATGTACGTGTGGGATTTTTTCATACAGGCAGAATGGGAACAGCAAGCACTCGTGATTTACAACAGTTACATCTCCACGAAAGCCCTGGGCCAACACAGCAGACTCAGCTTTCGGTTGTACAAGGCAAGAGCGTAACTGAGGTTCACTTTCTGTCTATTTTCTCTTTGGCTTCACAGCTTCCCTCTTATCTGCCATCTCCTGTCTGCACATACACGCAAGTGTAACGTTAGGCAAGCTGTCCGTGATCCTGCTGCTGAGGAGTGCGACGTTACGTCTTCTCTGCGCAGAGTGCTGAAGGCTGCTGGGTGCAAAGGTGTTGCTGATGCACAGTCCAGCAGGCATTGATACTGCTTTCTGGGTTTACGTGTCGCGCTGAGTGCAAAGAGCAGCTCGGCGGCAGGCAAAGCGCCGGTCCTGCTGGGCAGGGAGAAAGCGTTTTGCTGCTGCAGCTTGTGGACACTGCTCGTGGGAGCGACTGGGGCAGCTCCCACTGGCCATGCGTGTAGGAAGATGGAGGAGGTGGCACTGAGCCACTGAACCCGGAGTGGTTTTGTAGCTCTCGTGAGCGTGATAGAGGTGCACCTGCATCCCCTCGGAGATGCTGGAGAGCGTTCGTCACACACGAGGTCCACTGTTGGGAACTGATCCACTTGTCACTGGTCAGTCCCCCCCATCCATATCAGTGGAACTTCCACCGGGGGACTGGGGAGGGTCACACTCGTGTGCCGTGAGACAGAGTCTGGGCGCTGCCCTTTCTCTGCCGTTTCACAGGGCCACCGGGTCGCAAATCTTCGGCAGCCGGACACATCTGCGGTGGCCGTAAGAGCCGTAAGTAAGGCGTCAGAGCTATGGATGTCTTGTTCTGAGCCATTTGTAAAATGTTAGCGCTTGATTCAGTCATGTGGGAAATGTCTGATGTGGGAAAGGACAAGTATTATAACAGCCCTTGCTTTACGGAGCTGCCTGGATGATCTGCAGCTCCAGGAAGGGATTCTTGTATTTCCCCTTCAGCTGGAAATGTCATAACAGAGGCGGAGGAGAGGACGTGTTTCGCATCAGCAGCTCGGCTCTAGGTAAAAGGGAAGTTCACATTTTCAAGGAACTACAGAAACACGGGTCTTGACTGATAATAGTAAGAATTAATATTTAATTAAACTTAGACATCATATTAATCATCTGTATGTACTGCACTTTCTATTCATCCATCACGCTGTCATACCAGTACATAATAGATATTCTGTATGAGCACAGAAAAATAGCTTTAGCTGGAAAGGAAGCACAAACGTAGAATAGGAAAATGTCTTTATTTCAGCTTTTGACTAAAACTGTTGATAGTCTTAGGGATATAATTACTTTTCTCTCAGTGGATAAATAGCTGCCTAAATGCCCAAACCATCCCATACATCAAATCACCAGCTACTGCAAAAATTGTTGTGACTTCAGTGACTTCTGTTAGCATATGCAGATTTCTGTGATCTGCCTCTCAGGGCCATTGAATGGAAATCCTGCTGAGCCATGGAAAAGTGGACGGGGTGCTTCTCTGCCTCGCTCCCCGCCGGCAAAACTGTCACCCGCGCGCCGACTGCGGAGCCCTGTTACCGGGAACGGCACAGGGCGGGAGCAACCCTGCTTGGCTTTCCGAACACGCGGGAAGTCACGGTAGCAGCAGTTAGCAAGAAAGTATATATAATCTTTTCATATGTAAGTGGAGGAAAATTGCTGCCGAATCACTGGGAGGGAAGAAATGTGAGAGCTTAAGATGTCATTTTTACAGGCATAATTTTTACTGTAATGGCCTTTAATAGCCTGCACCAGTCAGTGTAAGGCTGTCAGCTGCAGCAGAGAGAGAAGTACAGAAATGTAATAACTCAAGCTGCTTGGAAGAGTTGTTTTCCTGCTGCAGTTAATTAGCAAGGTATCGTGGTTTTCCTTTTCTGTTTGCTTATTCAACCTGTGAAATGGTAGCTGGTGTCTTGGCTGTTCTTTCCCGTTTATCTATTGAATTTCTTCTTTTGCCCTTTCTGCAAATGAACGTAGCCCCTTGTGACCTGCAGTAACTGGCCGTCAGGCGTGTCACAGGAACCCTCCGATGCCCAGCACTGGGTAGCGCTTCGTGGCGGTGCCTCTCGGGCAGCAAACAACCCAGTGCGCTGGATATAGCTCCCGTGTGCTCGGAGAGCAGTTCCACGGAGCCAGGAGAAGCACCATCTGTCCTAACAAGCAGTCGAAAACACTGCCGAAAATACCTGTTTGAATTCAAAGGTCGGTTTGTCTCCTGGGGAAGGAAACCTGGAGAGCGGGGGAAACCAAGCGCAGTAAGCTCCGGCAGCGCGGGATGAGGTTACGCAAACACTGTGGCTGTCGTGAGGAGGGCAGTTATCCTGGGGACAAATACTGATCCTGTCCTCCGAAATCATGGAGATACTGCAGGCTGACCGTGGTGGTCCTCGCTGTCTGTTGGAGTCGGAAAAATGTGTGTTGGAAAGGACCTCCAGAGGTCTCTGATCCAGCCCTCCTCTCTGACAGGGCCAAGCTCAAGCTTAAATCTGTCTTCCCTTAGGTCGCTCGGGGCCGTGCCCACTTGAGGTATGCGTATCTTCGAGGCTGGTACCCTCGCTTGTTCGGCTCGTGATTCCAGCGAAGGCGAGCTCCAACGCTGAGTAAATCCCGTTCCTGTAAATTACTCAGCTTCTCCTGCTCCCTCGTGGGAGCGATGCGAGGGCCGTGTTGGCGGGGCCGGGAGTCGGCCCCACTTTGCGCGCGGGGGTGGGGGTGAGCTCGGCGAGAGGAGCGGCTGCTGTCAGATGCGCCCTTGGCTTGGAAGGGGAGCTTTGCAGAGGAGCAGGCGGATTCCGTGCAGGCAGGAAACCAGAAGAGAATGCAGAAATGAGCAAACTGAAAGAGCTGAATGCCTGTTTCAACATTTTCCCCTGGGACATTTTGAATCTTGCTTCAAAGAGACTTTTAAAAAATGTTTTCTTTTGACACTTTGATATTATTTCAACCCTTTGTGTGGAATATATCATCTGATTTTATCAAAATAAAGCAATTCAGTTGACTCCACATCACTTTTTAAAAAAAGGTCTTAAAAAAATTTGGAAATTCTTAGATTTTTTTTTTTTGCCTGTTTAGCACAAAACTTTTGGTTCCCACTCAGATCTTGATGAAATAAATTGTGCACCTCAATGACATCTCTCTAATACGTGCACATAAACTGTGTACGTGTGCATTTGCATATGTATTACTTTAATGCCCTGCTGGCACTTAGAAATTCGCACGGGCATCTCCTCAGGTTAGCGGCCCAGCTTCAGTGTGTGTTTTTTAATTTAATGTCTCTCATTCGTGATTCTGCTGACCGCATAAAATCGGCTTTTATAGGCACTCGGCAGCGAGGCGCCCTCTCTTCACACGTTATGCCTGGATGCTGAGGCCTCACTCGGAGAACGTCTCTGGCAGAGGTCGTTCATTCCCGCTGTAGATGGTGGTTGAGACGGTGGCCGCTCCTTCGAGGCAGCGCCCGTGTCCTGTGAGGCACCGTGCTGCGTGACTTCTGTGCTTACCAAACCCGGAGACTGCACCTGCGGATGATCATTGCTTGTTCGCTAAGAAAATACGTGCGTTGGGCGCTCAGCTGAGTGACGTGGTCGGTGATTTAGGAGACCTGAGGATTCATGGGCACTTCCTGTGTGTCTGGAGCCCGTTCCCTGTGGCAGCAGCGGGGACATCGGTGCTGGCCTGTTTCTACAAAGCGCGCTGAAATCCAAAAACCTAAAGGTCAGAAATACTGCTTTGGGAACCCGAGGCAGACTGTTGGGTCAGGACCACCAAGAGTCCGCGGCAGGATGGTCTGGTTGCTGATCTGCTGTGCTTATGGGCACGTGTGAGTTTCAGAGCAACGAGATTTCCACTTTGAGGTTGGATTCCCCCTCCTGATGCGGAAATCTGCGGGCAGGTGGGTGGCGCAGGGGCCGGGCAAACAGAAGAGTGGGTTCCTGATCGCTTTGAGCAGATGTTCTCGGCTCGTAGCTGGTGGTTGTTTGATGAGCAGGGGCCTGTTGTACCGTGAGTGTGTTGGGCGGATCAGGAGGAGCACGGAGAGCACGGGGAACGTCCCCTGGATGGTGGAGAGACAGGAAGCCCAGCGCAGACGCGTGACGTGTCCTTGCAACGGAAGGTTGAAGCCCGAACAGACGAGAGGCTGGTTCCTGGGAGGTAGAAAGGGAGCTTGGTTACAGAAAAACATACTTCATTTCACTGACATTTTCACAGCTTTGAAACACTTTGTTAATTTGCAATAACAGCTTTTGCAGTCTTGTCAAAATAAATGTCCACTGCAGTTAGGAAATCCCCGGCGTGTGCTCGGTGGCGGCTGACTGGAAGGAAGGTGGACTCGTTCGTCGCGGCGAGGAGGCTGCAGGCGGCTCTGTGACCGAGCACGGGCGCAGGGGAGGGCTGGGCGTGAGGTCGCACCCTTGCTCTGCGACCTCGGACGAATCACAGCGGTAATCTGTGCGTCATTTCAGAAAATACTGGCTTTCCCCTGCGAGGCACTGAGAGGCCTTATTTGCTCACGCTGTGCAAACGTCCGGAGGTCCCTGTGTGAGAGGCAGTCCGTGGAAGTAGGCTGCAGGCTCGTTTTTTTCCTCTATTTTGAAAGTCAGGAGAAACAAGCTGGAGAAAATGCTTTGCAGTTTTATTTTTAGAAGACGTGAAGTCTCCTTGGATGACAGCTGCTCTCTCGCTGTTCTCCCTGCAGGTACTATGCTATCTGCTGCCAGCCGCTGGTTTACAGGAACAAGATGACTCCGCTGCGCATTGCTGTGATGCTTGGAGGGTGCTGGGTAATCCCGACGTTTATTTCTTTCCTCCCTATCATGCAAGGCTGGAATAGCATTGGCATCATTGATCTGGTGAGTAGCTACGGGGGCACGCCAACCCAGCCTGGGGTCAGATATATTCGGTGCTGTATATTCTTCTTTAAAAAGCAATATTCAGGGAAAAGAAGGCAACAGAGGCTGAAGGAAAAACTTCTTACTAATGCGAGGGGCTGCTGAATTTCTGGAGGATTCCTTTTAGGGGGTTTGAAATGACTCTGTCCTGGCAGGACTGTCGCAAAGACAGTGGCGGCTCTGGGAGAGGGTTTTACCCGTGGCGTTCGGCGGGCAGTCCCCTGAGAGCACGCCAAGCCCCAGCTGAGCCCTGGGCATCCATCTCGGGAGTGCCTGGTCCCCTCACCGTGCCGTGCTGGCGACGCTGGGAGAGCCGGGAAAGCCAGGCTTCCCCAGACGGGACGGTGCTGTGGGCTGGTCCCAGCAGTATCCCCTCCCCTGGTGTGAGCCTTAAAGATGGGGAGAAGGTGAAGTTCCCCCACGCAAGTCGTTTCATCAGGAGCCAGTTTTCCTCACCACAGTCTGGCTTCACTGGTAGGAACCCGTCTACAGGGCGAGGAGTTAAGAGCTGCAGACCTGCTCTCCTTCCAGTCTGGAGATGCAGGGATTAAAAAATGGCAAGCTGTGAAAACACCTTATTTAGAAGAGCTTGTTTAAAGAGACGTAGCACCTTCTACGCCGAGTCTCAGCCGAGGAGCTGTGAATACTTTTTGGCTCGTGGAGAAGAACAGGTGCAGGCTGCCAAGGCTCGAGACAAGGCGACAAAGCTGAGATGGCTTCCCGACAAGCAGCTTTAGGACATGCAGCTGGTAGGAAATGGAGGCGCATCCTGTTTATTTAACAAACAATCTCAGGTATCTGATTTCTTCCACTGATTTCTTGCCCTGACCTTCTCAGAAACGGGTCGACACCCGGCTGGCTGTGCCAGCCTTTCTGAGCGCCAGTGCCAGCCCTGCCCTTGCCGGTGACTTGCCGGCGTTCGCGGTGCAGATTTCGGTCGCTGCATGCCGAGAGGCAGCGCAGGGCTCGCCCACCACCAGAGCCCTGCCTGCCCCCGGTCTGCCTCCTCCTGCTGCCCACGCTCACAGGCAGGACCCCTGGACTCAGCGGGCAGAGTTCTCCCGCCCGGGCCGCTGCCCACAGCCCCTGTGCCTGGGCAGCTCGGTGTCCCCCCCGCCGGGAGCTGACCCCCCAGCTGCTGCTGCCCAGACCCTTCCCATCCGTCTGGTCCTTCCCAACACCCCCGTGGGGCTTGGCTGGGTGGGGCTGGTGCATCTTTGGTGTAGAACCACACCTTGGTGAGCAGAGCAGCGGGCACTGCGAAGAAGCACGGCACCAAGTGAAGTTACTCCCCTTTGCTGTGTCTGAACTGGGGGGTTCAGGTGATTTTCACTGGCCAGGCTGAGGCACGCACTGGGGTGCTGGAGCTGCAACATGGGCTGGTCCTGCAGACCTGGGGACCGGTGGGGATGGAGAGCCCACGGTGTGGGCATGGGCAGGAGAGGCAGCAGCGGGTGAGGCGGATACCGCGGGGGGGAGAGGGGAAGCAGCAGAGAGAATCGGAAAGTGGTGGCGAGATGTCCTGGGACACAGACCT